AAACCATTTCAGGTGACTACCTCTTGAAGCTCATGGAGAGAATGCCAAGAGTGTGCAAAGCAGTAATCAGAGCAAAGGGTGGCTATTTTGAAGAAACTAGAATATAAAACATGTTTTCAGTTATTTCACCTTTTTTTGTTAAGTACATAACTCCACATGTGTTCATTCATAGTTTTGATGCCTTCAGTGAGAATCTACAATGTAAATAGTCATGAAAATAAAGAAAATGCATTGAATGAGAAGGTGTGTCCAAACTTTTGGCCTGTACTGTACATATATACTGATTGCAGCTGTGCTGCGTTCCGGCTCCGTCTCAGCTCCAGCACTCCGGAGCCCTCTGCAACAGATACGCAGGACTTCTATTTTTGCCGGACGCCGGAGCACAACGCAGAAATTCAGCACAGAGCAGATCGTGCGGGGCAGGAAGTCGTGCACAGAAACACAATAAAACATCCAGTTAATTTTCAAAATAAAATACAGTGTTCACGGCGGATCATATTTCCCTGCACTACACCTTAAAAACTACATAATCATGGCAGTGCACCGACATGTCTTCCGGCGGAGCTGCACCGCACCGCACCGCACAGCGAACGCAGCCGGTGGGTATTGACGGACGGCGGAGCAAGCAGCGGATAACCAGCGCTGCCGTTCCGCAACGGACATGCATCCAGTGGAAATCCGGCGTTATGCATTCTCCCACGCTGTCTCCCTCTCTTTTGCAGCTGCAGCGGTGTTGCACTTCTTTTTGAAAACGTGTTCAAACTCGCAGTATGAGCGCATCAAGATTTCTAATTCTAGTGGGGTGAAAAACGCAGTCCTCCCCGTCGCCATGGTGACTCGTCGAATCGGGGCTCCATTGATGCTGGCTTTTTATAGTTGTGGTGCGCGCTTAACTTAATAACTTAATGACTTAACACGCTTAACTTCAGGTGAAACTACTCCGAGTTGATTAAACTGATTCATATCAGCTGTTCTGGAACCGGAAACTCAGAGTTTCCTGTCTCAGAGTAGATCAACTCAGAGTTCAGAATTAGACTCAGAGTTTGTTGAACCTGCTTTGTGAAACGGACCCCAAGTCAGTGAGGAGAAAAACGTGGAACAGAGACACAGACCGACACACCCACAGACAGAGTTTTCTTCATTATATAGTAAGATATATATATTTGTTTTGTTTTTTCATAATCCCAAGCAAATAAAACTGAAAGCATTTTATTGGAGATACCACGAGAGGCAAATGAGATTTTTATTTATTTTTCTGATTCAGGTTGACTGACCCTTTAACTCAGCAACTCCAGGGAGACAAAAGAAAACAATATTGTAAAACCCCAATTAAAATCATTTAACACACCTCTTCATTCAAATGTTGACATTCATACACAAATTAAAGACTGTCCACTAACTTTTAAAAGAACTTCCATAATATTCAGAGCAATTCACTTTTTTGTATTTTAATTTTTTAACCATTTGTCTCATTTGTTTCTGCAGCTGTTAAATGTTGAGGCACAGTCTGTGTCAGCCCTCTGTTATCAGCCTACACACTGAAGGAGGTCCAACATTCATTTTAGAGACCGATTAAAAAAATACAGAAACACTGGGAGTGAAATAGTAAGTACTGCAACAAATCTTTTTCATTAGTTCCAACGTCCCTGCAAAGACTGCTAAATGACAAATTCTTGATAAGCTTTGCAGTGTTACTAGTTTTAGTGCTGACTGTTCAATCTGCAAATATGATGCTTTTTGCTCTGACACATCAATCCAGGCTCTTGATTGATCAGAGAGCAAAAAGGGTTTGCCCTCCTTCAAAGGTTTCACAACTGTGGTAATACTTTTGTCTCATCACTCTGGTCTCTGAGTAAATAGAAAGGATTTGGGACTTCTGATTACAATCCTGGATTGAAAACTGACAGTGAGATCCTCAGTGGACGTAGCGACAGGGAAGATAAGGAGTTGTCTGATGCTATCTGATGACATTAGTCAGTTGAAGGGGCCTCCTGAGGTTCCCGATTGACTGAATCATGAAAAGAAAGAAGTGAAGAGTTAGACTTGCAGAATTATTGTAATCCAAAGAGCATTGTAATCTAATAATTTCATAAAAATTACATCAGCTCCAACAAGATCAGGTATAATTCAATACCTTTTTCCAGTTCTTGCTTCATTAACGGATAAAATGTGCTGTTGTGTAATGTAAATGCCTTGTTTTTGGATAAAATATGACCCCCACAAATGTAATACCCAGACAAAAGTTAAATGTAAGCAGCATGGAACTGCGTTTCAAATCCAGCATAGAAGTCTGTGTTTTTACCTTCCTCTCTTGCCTTCATACGGGCGACAAAGTTGTAGCTCTTATTCCTTCGATAGTTCTCATAAGGGTCATCCAGTGACACCCCCACACCTTTATACTGGTCCCATTTGTCCCTGATGTCGCCTCCTTTGATGGGATCCTGGATTCCCTGTTCTTTGGCCCCCAAACCACCTGAACCACTCCAGCCTACAGCAGATAGGGGGACACAATAACAACAGGAGGAAAGTTACAGATCAGGATATACAGCATTTAACTTTCATTTTATTTATTTTTCAGTAAGAATATTTGAGTAATTTCATTCCATCTTGGAATGGTGCATCTCAAAAAATTGCAATGCAGTAAAAAAGTGTAATATACAGTACAGGCCAAAAGTTTGGACACACCTTCTCATTCAATGCGTTTTCTTTATTTTCATGACTATTTATATTGTAGATTCTCACTGAAGGCATCAAAACTATGAATGAACACATGTGGAGTTATGTATTTAACAAAAAAGGTGAAATAACTGAAAACATGTTTTATATTCTAGTTTCTTCAAAATAGCCACCCTTTGCTCTGATTACTGCTTTGCACACTCTTGGCATTCTCTCCATGAGCTTCAAGAGGTAGTCACCTGAAATGGTTTCCACTTCACAGGTGTGCCTTATCAGGGTTAATTAGTGGAATTTCTTGCTTTATCAATGGGGTTGGGACCATCAGTTGTGTTGTGCAGAAGTCAGGTTAATACACAGCTGACAGCCCTATTGGACAACTGTTAAAATTCATATTATGGCAAGAACCAATCAGCTAACTAAAGAAAAACAAGTGGCCATCATTACTTTAAGAAATGAAGGTCAGTCAGTCCGGAAAATTGCAAAAACTTTAAATGTGTCCCCAAGTGGAGTCGCAAAAACCATCAAGCGCTACAACGAAACTGGCACACATGAGGACCGACCCAGGAAAGGAAGACCAAGAGTCACCTCTGCTTCTGAGGATAAGTTCATCCGAGTCACCAGCCTCAGAAATGGCAAGTTAACAGCAGCTCAGATCAGAGACCAGATGAATGCCACACAGAGTTCTAGCAGCAGACCCATCTCTAGAACAACTGTTAAGAGGAGACTGCGTGAATCAGGCCTTCATGGTCAAATAGCTGCTAGGAAACCACTGCTAAGGAGAGGCAACAAGCAGAAGAGATTTGTTTGGGCCAAGAAACACAAGGAATGGACATTAGACCAGTGGAAATCTGTGCTTTGGTCTGATGAGTCCAAATTTGAGATCTTTGGTTCCAACCGCCGTGTCTTTGTGAGACGCAGAAAAGGTGAACGGATGGATTCCACATGCCTGGTTCCCACTGTGAAGCATGGAGGAGGAGGTGTGATGGTGTGGGGGTGTTTTGCTGGTGACACTGTTAGGGATTTATTCAAAATTGAAGGCACACTGAACCAGCATGGCTACCACAGCATCCTGCAGCGACATGCCATCCCATCCGGTTTGCGTTTAGTTGGACGATCATTTATTTTTCAACAGGACAATGACCCCAAACACACCTCCAGGCTGTGTAAGGGCTATTTGACCAAGAAGGAGAGTGATGGAGTGCTGCGGCAGATGACCTGGCCTCCACAGTCACTGGACCTGAACCCAATCGAGATGGTTTGGGGTGAGCTGGACCGCAGAGTGAAGGCAAAGGGGCCAACAAGTGCTAAACACCTCTGGGAACTCCTTCAAGACTGTTGGAAAACCATTTCAGGTGACTACCTCTTGAAGCTCATGGAGAGAATGCCAAGAGTGTGCAAAGCAGTAATCAGAGCAAAGGGTGGCTATTTTGAAGAAACTAGAATATAAAACATGTTTTCAGTTATTTCACCTTTTTTTGTTAAGTACATAACTCCACGTGTTCATTCATAGTTTTGATGCCTTCAGTGAGAATCTACAATGTAAACAGTCATGAAAATAAAGAAAACGCATTGAATGAGAAGGTGTGTCCAAACTTTTGGCCTGTACTGTATCTTTTCAGTTATTTCAGAATTTCAGTGAATACTCTATATATTCTAGAAGGCCACAGAAGGTCACTGCTGAGAGGGCTGGCTGTTTGCAGAGTGATATATCAAAGCATAGTCATGGAAAGTTGACTGGAAGGGAAAAGTGTGGTAGGAAAATCCAGAATTGAATTTAAAATCCTAGTGTTAACTTACAAAGCTCTAAATGGTCAAGCTCCGTCATATCTTAGAGAGCTCATAGTGCTATATTATCCCACCAGAACTCTGCGCTCGGTTACTCGTGGTCCCTAAAGTCTCCAAAAGTAGATCAGGAGCCAGAGCCTTCAGCTATCAGGCTCCTCTCCTGTGGAATCATCTTCCTGTTGCGTTCCGGGAGGCAGACACCGTCTCCACATTTAAGACTAGACTTAAGACTTTCCTCTTTGATAAAGCTTATAGTTAGGGCTGGCTCAGCTCTCTCTCTCTCTCTCTCTCTCGCTAACTTGGCCACTCTGGATGTCACTAACTCGGCTTCTTCTCTGGAGCCTTTGTGTTTCACTGTCTCTCAGGTTAACTCGTATTGCAGTGGTGCCTGGATAGTGTGACGTGTGGTTGTGCTGCTGCCGTGGTCCTGCCAGATGCCTCCTGCTGCTGCTGTTATCATTAGTCATACTTCTACTGTTATTATACACATATGATTATTGTCACACATGTATACTATCAGATATTAATATATACTTTCAACATACTGTACCGCAGTAACCAGAACTATAATTATAATATTATTACTTTCATTAATGTTGTTGTAAGCTACTGTCATTACTGTCTGTCCTGCATCTCTCGCTGTCTCTCTCTGTCTCTCTCTCTTTCTGTCTCATTGTGTCATACGGATTAACTGTTAATTTATTATGTTGATCTGTTCTGTACGACATCTATTGCACGTCTGTCCGTCCTGGAAGAGGGATCCCTCCTCAGTTGCTCTTCCTGAGGTTTCTACCCTTTTTCCCCCGTTAAAGGGTTTTTTTTGGGGGGGAGTTTTTCCTTATCCGTTGTGAGGGTCCAAAGGACAGAGGGATGTCGTATGCTGTAAAGCCCTGTGAGGCAAATTGTGATTTGTGACATTGGGCTTTATAAATAAAATTGATTGATTGATTGATTGATTGACTGATTGATTGAAAAGGTGCACAAGCAACAGGGATGACTGCAGTCTTTATAGGATTGTCAAGACAAGCAGATTCTAGAACATGGGGGAGCTTCACAAGGAGTGGACTGGGGATAAAGTCAGTGCATCAAGAGCCACCATGCACAGAAATGTCCAGGAAATGGGCTACAAGTGTCACATTACTAGTGTCAAGCTACTCCTGCACCACAGACAATGTCAGAAGCAGCTTACCTGGGCTGAGGAGGAAGAGAACTAGACCATTGCTCAGCGGTCCAAAGTCCTCTTTTCAGATGAAAGTAAATTCTGCATTCCATTGCAAAATCAAGGTCCCAAAGTCTGAAGGAAGAGTGGAGAGGCACAAAATCCACGTTGCTTGAAGTTCAATGGGAAGTTTTCACAGTCAATGATGATTTGGGGCGCCACGTCATCTGTTGTTGTTGGTCTACTGTTTTATGGAGTCTAAAGTCAAGTCCAGAGCACTTCATGCTTGCGTCTGCTGACACAGTTTATTGAGATGCTGATTTCTTTTTCCTGCAGGACTTGGCACCTGCCCACAGTGCTAGAAACCACTTGCAATTGGTTTGCTGACCATGGTATTACTGTGCTTAAGTGGCCAGCAAACATGCCTGACCTGAACCCCAAAGGGAATCTATGGGGTATTGTTGAGAGGAAGATGAGAGACAACAGACCCACAGTCCAGATCAAAGCAAACTGGGCATCCATAACACCTCCACAGCGACACAGACTGATCGCCTCCATGCAACAGTGCTTCGATGCAGGAACTACTGCAAAAGGAGCCAAGACCAAGTATTGGGTGCATAAATAAACATACTTTTCTAAAGGTTGACATTTCTATATTGTAAATCCTTTTTGATTGGTGTTATTAATGCTGGGACTAAGCTTAAAAAAAATAGGAGAGCGCCATATCTCCCATTGGTCCAGTAAATTACAGGTGTAATTCACTCCCAAAATTTAAGCTTCCACACCCCATTGGGCGAGCCTGGCCGGACCCAGGTGGAGTCAGGCGGAATCCCATGACCTCACTGAGACCTTAATTGCTGCAGTGTGTCGCTGCCCTTCAGTAATCCCCATGTGACAAGTTTTTGGATGGAAGCTCCAGCTTTCTGCACAGAAGTTACTGTAAGGGAGCACCTCAAACATTTGAATTAAATTGCCCTAGGCCACAGTTCTTAACTCGCTGGACAAGGAAACACCCTTTTTTTTACATTTGTTTTGAACACCCCATGGATCCACAGAGAAATGAAGAGCGACCCAGCAGTTACTCGATACCTGCAGCTCAATGCCCTCGCACTGATCCAAATCAACCATTGTGTCCCTCCACGGCCACTATTACCTCAAGCTGATTTCGAGTGCCTGCACTACTTTTTCTCATTCTCTCTTTCCTCTTATAGTAACCTACACATACACACTCACACGCACACACAGACACACATACGTTTGGTAAGAAACATCAGATTTACCACTACTTTCACACACCCATGTTAGCACAGTACTGGTGTTTGTGTAGTAGCATTAGTTTAGGACATGTTTATTAATTCAAGTGTTTTATTCATTTATCAATGATTACTTCTTAATAAATTAGCTGCAAGCTGTAATTATCAAAATTAAAACAAAAAAAAAGGTGTAATGAAACTAGAATATATTAAAGTTTAACTTTTTCAATTAAATTACAAAAAAAAGAACTTTCCCATGATATTCAAATTTTTTGAGATGCACCTGTACATGGTGTGTTTCGGAATTTGTTGTCCGTTTAAACGGAGTTCAGTTCAGTTGAAATAATGAGAACAAAAAGACCGTACCCATCTTCATCAGCAGCTGATGGCCTTTGTTCTCCTCTCCTAGCCTGATATCTGCTGTCAGTTTGGAGGGAGGGGCACCCAACACTGATGTGGAGCTGTAGAGAACAGTAGAGGTGGTGATCTATTCTGCACTATGCAGAAAAAGGCTCTTCATGAAAACATCTTACCAAAGAAATTCAAAGGGGACTTACGGAGGGGAGGAGCTCTGGGATTTGGGGCCACGGCGTCTCTTGGCAGGTGAACGTGAATGGGATCTGGATCTGGAGCGAGAGCGACTCTGTGATGACCTGGATCTACTCCTGGACCTAAAGAGAAGTATGTTAAGACATGGCCATTAGCAAATTTGTTAACAAGATCAGCCCTGCTTCTTCTATCTTTGTCTGTCCCAAACTGCTTACTTCACTTTCTGCCGAGGTGGGATTTATACTTCTGCATCAAACCAACACTGTACCTGTGTCCACACAGAGCCTACGATGTAGCCTGATGCATACCTAAATGTAACTGTATGTTGCAGCGACGCAGACTTCCAGTTACTTTTGTAAGCTGAAAACCATTACCTTCAGTGGAAACAAAGCTTTTATTGACTTTTATTCAGAGATAAGAAACAATAATTTGTGAAGACAATTAGGCCCCCACAAAATAGCATTTTAGGTCTTGTGTGTGATTCATTCTGGCTTCATAAGATTGATTGATTGATTGATTTCTGGAAGACAATAAGACAGTAATCCAAAGGATGACATGCTAAAGTAAAATACTTATTTCCAGCATGGTCCTTGGTGTTTACACACAAGAAACAAATAAACAAGAAGCAGACAAACTCAGACTAAAAATACACAGTAATTAGGAGGGGGAAAAAGACATCACATAAAACAAAATAAATAAGAAACAAAACTGCTGTAAAAACTATCCAATTCATCAATAAATATCCACCTTATTCCATAAAATCTGCTTGACCTGTCTTTTAAAAATCCCTCATGATGAGAGCCGTTTTGTAGCAGTTGGCAAACTATTCCATGCCATGATACCAGTATAAAAGAAATAATTTTTAGCTGCATTATTAGCTCTAGGAACTATGCAGGAGCGGATGCTGGCCCTAGTGTTATAACTATGCTGCGTGTGGACCATGGTTACATTAGAGCATAAATATTTGGGGGCATGACCATTAACAATGTTAAATATATGGTTCAGCTTAAGTTGTTCTACTCTTAAATGTACAGGTAGTAGACCAGCTCTTGTAAAAGGGGTGCTTTTAACAGATACCGAATAACATTGTTTTGCAACACTTGGAGAGCTCAAGCCTATGACAATGTAAAATGTCATAGGCTTGAGCTAATAATGTTAGCAGGTTGTATTTGTGGGGAAAATTTATCCAGCAAATGACAAGTGCTTTGTCTGTGAATTCTACGAGTTATAATGAAGCTAATTTTGTACTTGTTTGACATTGTCACTATGAAGCCATATTTAATGTGTTTAATGTGTGTTTTGAATCGACTAAACTTTACAGCACTTCACAGAATCCCCACCACTGACTAGTGCTTTGGAGGTGTAACTGCAGAGTGACACAGACACACCACCACACAAGTTTAAATGCTCGCAACGGGGTAGGCTACGTGCATAGGCTATGGCGTGGGCTCTGCATAGAGCTGACATACAAGTATAAATCTGGCTTAAGAATAGTTAATCCTAGCAAAAGTATCATACACATGTCTGTGTGATAGAGTGATGCGTGTGACCTGGATCGTGAGTAGGAGCGGGAGCGGCTGCGTGACTGGGAGCGAGACGAGCGAGACCGTGACCTGGAGGACTTTGAGGAGCGAGAGCTGGAGCGAGATGAAGATCTCCCTCTGCTGCGAGAGTGACTCCTGGAGCGACTGCCACCACGACCACTGGAAGGAGTGAGCCAAGGGGGGAGGGGGAGAGGGGAAGGTTTGTTTACATTTTTTTAAAAATGTTTTATTAATGTGCATTGTTCCTGATCACTAAACCTTAAATAAAAAAAAATAATAAATTGTTACAGGAAGAGGGATTTTCATTTTCATTTAGACTTTTTCATTGTCATACCCTCACAGAGCTCAACAGTAGTGTTGCTGCCATTTGTAGCAGTAATGTTTTATTTAGGACAGGGTCTGTGCCATCCAAACTTTTCAGAAATCCCTATGTTAGGACAGTTCTGTATTAGCTAAATTCCTATCCTAAGATAAGATAGTAATTTCTCCTAAATGCAGTTAGGACATGTTACTCTAATACCAACAATCCTAAATGTCATCTTAAACTGAGATAAGATAGGATAGGATTTCTTCAGAAGCTTCTGTAAATAGGTCTTATAACTGAACATACAGAGAGCATTCTGATAGACAATAACAAAGCACACGCACAAGCTGTAAGGTCTGAACACGTGTGAAACATGTAGAGTCAGAACAAGAGGAAAAAATCCAAAAGAAAAGGAAGCTCACCTGTTGCGTTTTTCCTGTCCCTTTTTCCTCCTGGCTCTCATCTTGGCCCTGAAGAACTCATACAGGCCATTCTGCTCCCAGCCTTCACTGGTGGAGGAACAAACCACAGCCAGCTGTTTACTATAACCCATAGCAATTTCTATTAGAAGCTAATGCCTCAGTCCCACTGCATGGTTCGGCTTGACTCGACTTGACTTACTTTTGGTACCAGGTGTGTTTCTCCTATCTCCTATTTGTGAAAATATGAAGGTATGAATTGCACAGCATAAATAAAAAGTTTAAAAAAAAAACAAACAAACAAAAAAAAACAGTAACACACTCAGACAAAGACTGGTACATCCAAAAGACCGTACACCACACACCCAGAAGAGCAACCTGGTGTACGCTGTCCAATGCAGTGAGGAATGCCCAGACTTGTACATTGGTGAAACAAAAAGACCACTAAAACAACGCATGGCCCAACACAGAAAGGCTAACTCTTCAGGGCAAGACTCAGCTGTCTATTTACACCTCAAGGAGAAAGTACATTCCTTTGAAGACAGCAACGTGCACATTTTGGACAGGGAAGACAGATGGTTTGAAAGAGGTGTAAAAGAAGCCATCTATGTGAAATTAGAAAAACCATCTCTCAATAGAGGAGGAGGTCTGCGACACCACCTGTCCCCCACCTATAATGCTGTCGTTTCATCCTTGCCCAGGAGATTTAACAGCTTAACCTCTAAAAACAATGGTTGTTCACAAATGGCCTCATGTGACTCTAACGACTCCAATGACCACCGTTGCAGCAGGAGTTTCAACGACCGTCGTTGACACACCATTGGAGCACTAATGAACCAGTGACATCATTGTCACTGACATCATTTAACCTCCCCAGAGGTTAAATACCTGGGTTGTTTCCACACCAGTTTGTCAGACTAGTTCCAGCCTAGTCAGACAAGCATGAACTGATGAAGCCTCTTGGATAAGAGGTGAAACGTCTTCTCAGACAAAACCAAGTCCAGTTGCGTTTGATTCAATTGCCTTGAGATAACTATGACCTGGATAAATGAGAATATCCACAGGCACTGTGTTAAATGGGCATATAATATTGTCTCATATCAATCACACGCCCTTGAACTGCACCAAATTGAAACCTTATCGTGGCAGACTTTGTAATATTGGCAAATATCATATTGTTGTCCAAAGAATGCATTACAATACAGACAGTACCCCCTCAGTGAAGGCAGGTTTAGTACTGTGTAGTTTTGCAATTTATCTAAATCATGGGCGAGTGAATGATAAAACTGCAGTTTTTACTGACAGCCTCTTGGCGAATTATAAATAGTAGCTTTGTGCAGGCTGTCCCATGTTGAGCTACGTTTCTAGTGATGATTCTCTCTTACTGATCAGAGGTCTATAGCAGTTTTGACCCAAAATGGGTCATAGACCAGAAAGAAAGTAAAACACATACCATTCGATTGTGTTTCAGATGGCAAAACGAAAAATACAAACTGGCAACCCATTCTTGGCCTTTGGTTACCACATATTAACATATAAAAATGGGGACAGACAGCAAAATATGCAACTCAAAATGAATACATCTGACATGTTTGTTCCATTAGTGATATTTAAATATTGCTGTTATAGTCAGGACCAGAACAAGAACCAGACAACACTTCATGTACATTGGTGCATCTACTTGTAGGCACACAGGGTGATCTGTTTTAGATGTAATGGCAAAGCAAATTAAGATTCAAATTCTGCAAAGTATCTGATAAAATAAAAACTATAAAAAAATTTGTTCAGTTACTGTGATAAAGCTTTTAAACATTCTTTAAATTTCACGATCTCCATTACAAAGCGGGTGTACTGTAACTCTATAACAACATAGTATCTTAATTATTCAAAACACAAGGTGATTAAAAATGGCAACCAAAAGCTAATACCTGGTTGCCAGCCTGGCAACCAATTTTAAAAGTTAGTGTTGAGCCATAAAATAGGCAACATTCATTGCAAGATACTTAAAACTGAGCTATAATCTGGTTAATGTGGTTTCTGCACGCCACTCAGTACGTTTACATGCACAGTTAAGTGGAGCTACACTTACAGCTCGACTAGACCATTTAACTGGACTACTATCCTTGTCCCAGTATACATGCACGAGAGGGGAATTGATTTATTGACCTAAGTATGTCCTGCTACGATAGGTGCTGATATGCTCCCTTTCAGCTCGTTAGTATTAGACCTTTTTCTGGTTGACATATTACGTCACAGACCAAACAATTGACAAACAAGTTAGCTACAGTTAGCTAGTGGCAAACTGGTACCATGGTGGACAACTTTACAGCTCTGTTCATTTCATCTGTCCAAAAACACATGGCTCTGGATGAGGATTTTGCCATGTTATTACCAGCTTCCTCTCCTGTTATGCATTTAATGCTATTCAACTTCAGGGTCAAAGCCCGGGGTGGAAACTGTGGAGCATGTGCAGAGCACCTAGGCTAGTTTGGGTCCGATTGACCGTATATATGCAGGAGGAATTCAACACCCAATCGCATTATCTGGGTGTGTTAGTCCGACACTGAAAAATTCCAGTCAGTACAGTCAGACGAACATGTTTACATGTATTTTAAAACATGTAAACATAGTGAGTGTCTTTACAGGGTATATGCAGGAATCCTGAGGTTAATTTCAACATCCTTTTAAGACTTTATTTAAGACCTTCCAAAAAACACCTTAAGACCTCATCGCCACTTCAAGCTGTCATTAGCAGCAACACATCTTTTACTTACTAAACAGTTGTAGTTTGCAATTAAATCTATGGAGCACAAACATACAAAAGAATTTAGATAAAATGAGAAGGAATAAAGCTTGAAAGAATAAATTAAACCAAAGGCAGGTTTATTAAAATACACCTTAGGTCATAACAAGTAACACAGCTCTACAGCTCAACATTAGCTATTCAAGGCCCATTCTCGGAACCCATTGGCTGTATTCGGCGTCTGACTTCCAGCAGACGGTGATGCAGCCTCTGGGGGCAGACCCCCGATTTTTTGGCATTCCGGTTTGAGGAGGCGAATTTCTGTTTCTGACTTCCGTTTATATATAAGTAAATATGCTGAACCATTGCGATGGATTCAGAGTTTGCAGTGACGCCAATTATGTTCCGCCTCGTTAGTTCACCGCACGGAGCGTTTAACCCTTTGGGCCCTAGGCGTTTTTGGGGTATTTTTACTGCCTTTACTTTTAAGCTCATATCACAGTCATTATAAAGGCTACATACACATGCTATATCTTGTTTTTTTCAGGACAATCTGGGCTAACCAGATTTGCCATCATTCCATGTCCTTCTATGTGCCTGTATTTTATATTAATTTTTATATCAATGAAAAAAACAAATCCGTGTGACTAAATTCTTACATTTTTACATGTATCTCACCATAGCAAGTTGGAAGATGACATATTCTGCCATATATGAAGAGGGGAGACTCTCTGGAATCTGGCAATATAAGAACCATGATGCTGGGACATTCTGTCACTTCACAGCTGTCCAAAACATGTGGTTTGTGCCAGGCGGACATGATTGCCAGTATTTTTTCATTATTGCAAGAAATTACATTGACTCATTCACAAGTCAAAAATGTGTTTTATCTGAAAGAAACATGCAATATTTACATCTGAGATCATAGAAAAATAGTCAACCAAGTGCAATGATGTCCTCCAAGATAATATTTGTTTTAAACAAACGAATATTCAGCCTTTTTTTTCTCACGTTTTTTTGGGGGACCTTGAACGCAACACTAATCATGCTGTACGTTTACGGTTGTTTTTTCCCCTTTAGCCATATGTAAACTCAAAGAACAAGAAGCAATGTCTGTTAGGCATATAAGATTTCATGTTCCAGTTCCAGTTCCAGTTCGTGTTTGTAATTGATTGATTGTTTTTGGTTGGTTATTAAAAAAGAAAACATCTCCGACAAGGAAACAGAAAGCCCAACGTGCAATGAATGGAGACCTATTATCCTGCTTGAACACAGACAGCTAAATTCTTTCAACAATGTGACTCAAAATAATGATAAAATAGATTTTATTGATGTAAAATAATATGCTGATGGTGACATTTTCCACCGGTCCACTGCGCTCTGAGTCTGGTGTCAGTGACACATGCTGCTCTGAGTCGCGCATCTGTCTGCTTGCACTGCAGTGCGCGCCAAGGGTTTTAAATTTTAGTGTTAAATCAAAAGTAAAACACTACTTATCAGCAACTAGAAGTGCTTTTTCGTTTGTGAATATTTTTATCTTAATTCTAGGGTTGCAAGAAACTACCCTTTCGCCATAATTTTGAAGTTATTAACTTCTTTGGATTTTTTTTTCTCGCTCAGCTCCCACCCCGAGTGGCAGTCTGAGTGTGTCTACCTACACACTGTTGTTTGTAATAGTCGCGAGGAGGAAAATAAGTTATACATTCATGGATACTTTTTGTCAAAGCTTGAATGCCAAGAAAATGTAATACTTCATAAAATCACGATTAAGACTTTTTAATACTTTTTAAGGGCCTTAATTTTCCGACATTTGATTTATCAACTTTTAATACTTTTTAAGATCCCGCGTACACCCTGCTGTACTCAGCAAAAGATCATTGCTGTGTTTTTTTTAACTTCCATGTGTCAATAAGGGATTTGAAAGGATTAGGATTCAATCAGCAGATTTGAAAGTGAATTGTTACACCCGCAAACGTAATAACAGCCCACAAACGTTGTTTAATTGAATTTATTGTATTTTCTTCTGCCTCTTGTTAATACGGATTTCTCTGCAGCATCTGGCCTACAGTACCTGTTCAGCACCTCGGACAGCGGTGCTGCGGGATGGGTTGGCTCTCATAGGGGGTCAGGTGCAGGTTGTAAGGTTTTAAAAACCATGGTTTACAATAACTTAATCCTCCTCCACTCAAAAATGTGTTTTCTTCTTGTTCCTACAGATGAATGTGTGAGCTTCACTGTGCAGAATGACGTATGTGCAGAGCTTGACATTCGAAGGCTGTTTTCACATTTCTCTGCTGAAAATGCTCGTATGATTTTAAGGGCTAGGGCTATGAGCCTATGTTGGTGGCTTATGTAGCCTATGTTTGAACCATTTAATTAAAATATGTCTGCATATCAAAAGCCAAAAACTTGAATATGTCGTTCATTCTATGAAGTAATGAAAACATTTTTCAAGATTTAAGACTGGTACTTTTTGATAGTAACATGGACCAAGACTGTCTGAACACTGACAATTAAAGGCTTGCAAATAATTAATGACTGGTGAACTTAAATTAATGTAGCCTATGTGAATGCAGGAAAGTGAGAATTGCCATGTAGGTAACTGAAAATTTCCCAGACAAAATGATACATTATGTTACATTACTTTAAATAAACAGCCTTTCAGTTGTGTGTGTAATGTAAGGTCTCATCCACTTATTATTATTTGAATATGAATTATTTGATAGTTGCCGCAAATAAATGAATTTATGGGTATGCATCAAAACTCTACCAAAAAAAACAAAGAAGATGGGCAGGCAATGGTCACTTTGCGGTAAAACAGTTCAACTTTGGAACAACTTTTCACCCCTTTCCCGGTAAGTCTAAACAGGCAAGAATCTAAAGGACAAGAATATGTGGGAAGAAAACGTCATTGCCTGTTGAAGACATTTAGTTAGCAACTTGTATAAGCTGCAGATTTTTAGTATTTGTGGTTTATTCATTCAATTAGATTCAAATTTGCTTTATTGGTGTAAATATCACAACAACAATATTGCCAAAGCATCAAGAATCAATTCAACAAAAATTAATGAATTAAAACAAGAAAAGAGTAGCATAGCTCTGTCTGTGGGCGTACATGTGTGTTCGAGTTATATTATTGTAAGTGTGATTTTGTATATGTGTGTATATGGGGAAGAAATAATTAAAAGAAAAATAATAATAATAGTAATAATAATGATTAAAATAATTGTGATTATTATCACAATTAAGTTATCTTTTTTTATGAAAATAAATGATAATTTAATCATTTAAGATTCCTTCAAGACATGTTTTAACGTATATAAATGTTTCTCTTTGAATAATAATGTATGATATAGTTTTTCCACAAAAAATTCAATTATCTTGTTAAAATCCTTAAAATGACATCTACACCTTCTCCCTCATTAAAAATGCTAGAATCTATCAATATGCCAATTTTATTCTTCATCCCAAAGGTTTCACTGTTAAGTTCATTCTCAGTGTATGTGCACCGGAGGCTTCAAGTTTCCACATCATACTTGTGTAAGTTGAACATTGGACAATGACTGGCTTTTAAAATATTTGTGATGTCACAAATCATGCTTGTAGCCCTTCTAAAGAATGAACGACATATTCAAGATTTTGGCTTTTGATATGCAGACATATTTTAATTAAATGGTTCAAACATAGGCTACATAAGCCACCAACATAGGCTCGTAGCCCTAGCCCTTAAAATCATGAGCATTTTCAGCAGATAAATGTGAAAACAGCCTTCGAGTGTCAAGCTCTGCACATACATCATTCTGCACAGTGAGGCTCAAACATTCATCTGTAGGAACAAGAAGAAAACACATTTTTGAGTGGAGGAGGATTAAGTTATTGTAAACCATGGTTTTTAAAACCTTACAACCTGCACCTGACCCCCTATGAGAGCAAACCCATCCCGCAGCGCCGCTGTCCGAGGTGCTGAACAGGTACTGTAGGCCAGATGCTGCAGAGAAATCCGTATTAACAAGAGGCAGAAGAAAATAAAATAAATCCAATTAAACGACATATTTGCTGCCACAGAGTAATTCTGTGAACTGACAAGGAATGACCAGTGTGTGTGTGTGTGTGTGTGTGTGTGTGTGTGTGTGTGTGTGTGTTGCTCTGTCACTTTCTGACCCGCCCCACCCGACCTGCGGGTTGCTTGTCAACACACGCATCACTATTGGCAGGTGTATAAGTAAACAAACAAACAAACAAACAACAACCACAAAGATCATTATTCAGTCTCATATTACATTTGTGGGAAGTTATTACAGTTAAGATTTTCACCTTACCAAATATGTAATAATTTCCTGCAAATGTAATAGTTATTACATTTGCGGAAAATTGTGTGTTACGTTTGTAGTAGGCAGCTGCTATTACGTTTGTAGGAAATTTATTACATTTGCGGGATTATTACATTCAAAGCTGCAGATTTGTATTACGTTTGTGGTTTATTACGTTTGTGGGCCGTTATTACGTTTGCGGGTGTAACAGTGGATTCAAAGTGGATTTGTTTTTACAGACATTGTCAAGGTGTGTGTGTACCTGTTCCTGGGCCGGTCATGGGATGGAGGGCTGTAGAAAGCTTCCACAGCAGCTAGAAGGCGATCACTGGGTGGCATGGGAGGGGGCAGCCGGATGTCTTTAGGGTCCAGAGGTTTATAATCACAGTCCTCAAGCTGAGCAAAGGACATTACAAGGAGGATCAGAAGACATGTAGGGTTGACTGTTATAGATAAATATATCTAGTGAGCCAGTTCTTTAACTGTAGATCAGACTTTTCTATTTTGAATTTAAAAACTACAGTACTGTGGCAGGTGTGGATTGGTCTTCTCCGGTATTATAATTTTTTTGGAAATTTCTACTGGTCTGTTTCCGAAGTTGTCTCAAAAAGTGTTCTATAAATGACTTCACTGTCCATTCTGTAAGCCACTGTGGCAGTGCTGCACCAGGCTTTACCACTGTTCTTTCTCCATAAGTTGAATTAAATCATGATGGCTTTCTTGTATCAATAAAGTGAATATGTCAGCTGAGAGATGAACCAGCTAATAACTAATGTCATGCCCTTGTCCTCAAATCAGAGGCAGGTGACTTACTTTGACCAGCGGAGCCATGAGACCAGCTGGCAGGTCAAAGTAGGGTACATTGGGCACCAGACTGGGATCATCCTGCACAGGATGCTGTCGATGACGCATGTGGGGCGAATGGCCATTGAAGCCATGTGGGGGTGGGCCAAAATCCGGGTGCTGACCTCCACCCCAAGGAGGATGGTCTGCACCCATACCTGGGTGAGGGAGCCTCTGATTGGGATGGTGGTGGGGAGGAGGACCTGGCATGTCTGATGAAGGTAGATATTTCACACAAAAAAAGTTAATAAATACAATTACAGGTGCAAAACCAAGTAGCTTTACAGGTGCATATTAGTGAAATTACTGTTCAATCACTTTGTGCCTTTGTGCTCACCTCCGGGAAAATCTCCCTGAGCATAGTCAAAGCGGTGTGGGGTGTATGGCGGCCTGTCGTAGTGGTGCCTGGGAGGGAAATCGTCCTGCATAAAGCGTGGTGGGAAGCGTCCGAAACTGTGCGGTGGTGGGGGCTGGTTGAAAGGAGGTGGCTGCTGGTGAGGAGGGAAGGGCCCTCTGAAATGGGGAGGTCTCTGTAAAAATGCAAGATGGACACGGTGGACACAGTCATTAATGTCAGTGAGTAGGGTTGGGCACCAAAATCTGATGCCAATATGGCACCAGTTACTATAGGAGCAGTGTGTACTGGACCAAATCACAACACAGATTTCTGAGGCTCATTTTGGTGCCTGACTGTGTACATAATGAGTGTACCGCAGAGAGTGAGGGAGAGGGTGGACGCATGGAGTATAATAAATGTTTAACTTCTTCCTACTCCTTTTGAACATGAACAGTATTATTTGAGTTGCTCATTAGTTGCTTATATGTTGCTGAGGATCCCGTCTGTTTTTGTTTTTATTGCTTAGAAATTTTATTTTGTATTACTTTAACATGTTCAATAAATTGACTTAAAAAACACAGCAGTGCAGTGTGTGTACCATTTAGGCTATTTGTCAGTGAATAAATGCTACAACTCCTCAAGACCCAAGGCAAGTTCCCGTGTCTTGCTTGGGCTGGGCAATAAAATTATAACTTTACTTATATCAATATAACTTTCTTTGATATAAATAGAATAAATTATTGGTAAATCTTTGATATAATTAAACCAACCATACGCCTGTAGAGAGGGCAGTGATGTACCTTAAACACCAATTGCCACACTCCAAGAGGTAGAGTAAGAAAAGTTAATGCATACAGTAACATTATAATGTTACAACAACATTCAACATGCTTATAAAGTTAATTTCAGTCTGAATATATTTGACCACAGACAACGGCGCGGGGCTACCCCACACTGAATTTTCTACATAACGTTAGCTACAGTAGCTGTATAGGTATTGGCTAGACTAAGGCTAACGGTAAGTTAGCAAGCTAGCATGACTGACCAGTGTTTCCCCTACCATTATATTAGGGGGGCGCCCTAATTTTATTTAAATTTTATTTTCTATATAGCGCCAGATCACAACAGAAGTCATTTAAAGTCACCTTTCCTATAGAACAGGTCTATACCTTGTTCTTTTATTAAACAAACTAAATAGCCTAATGTTATTTATCTTATTTACACAACAGCCTGTCATTTCTGTCTCTACATAGTTGCGCGTTTACAATTCTCCTCCCGCTTCTGTATCGCACACGGCCAAGTTCTGTGTGCGCGCGCGCACGCGCACACACACACACACACACACACACACACACACACACACACACACACACACAGGTGAGCGAACTAGAGCGCGGCTTGGGCCGCATTTTCCTGACCGAACCTGACCCGAGTCCAAGATAATTAGAACCGAGCCAGGCCCGGACCCGCAGCACAACACAGTACACACACTCAATGGAGCGGAGCCGGTGTTGCGTTCAGGCGTTCTCACGTAATCAACAAATTGCAAGACTTGAATAGGCCATAGTGCAACACAGCCTCAACAAGTCTGACTGTTGTTATTGTTTTGATCTAGAAACAACAGAAATTATATACTGTAGGTTTAAAACTATAACAGAAAATACTGACCGCAGTTGGGTTTTTTCTTATGTCTGTTTACTCTCTTTACATTTTCAGTTAAAACACTTACAAAACGTTTTCTGCACAAAGAGTTTGAAATGCTGCTGACCAGAATTAGAATTTCTTTGTCTATTCATTGTCTCATTATTTACATTATTTTGATTGTAGTTCATTTCAGTCTACATCAGATTTGTAAAATGTTCTGCTGTTTGGCAGCCGTTGTCATGTTCTGACAAAAATAAAAGTTTAAACCACAATTAACTGTTTTCTTCAACTTTCACTTAGGAGCAAAAACTAACCTTTAAACATGAAAGAAATAATGATAGGACAATAATTGTAGTGATATTGACTGATATGAACATTTTCATCATGACAACATTTTTAGCCATATCACGTCGTCCTATTGCATGCCACCTGCTGCTTAAAGTGAAGGAAGTTCCCATTGAAATCTCACCAGGCTCATTAGGACCTGTGTCCATGTAGTGTTAATCTTCTGCAGAAAAGCAGTGGCAGGGAGCTGGGGAGCACTTCTTCCCAGTGCATAATGTTACTACACTTGGATTTTCTTTCTACAACATCTTGACACTAACATTAGCTTGGTAGCTAACCTAATGTTACGTTAACAGAGAGCTGACTTCACAGTTTACAAAGCATACTACAGGCCCATTCAATTGGTGGCCTGCGAGCCACATCCGGCCCAAAAGCAAACTCCCTGTGGCCCAGCTCAGGATGGGATGCAAGCCAGTTTGAAACAGCCCCAGGGCAAAATTATAAAGGCCATAGCAGGGGCGGGGTGTACGGACGGACAACCCGAAAACATAATGCCTCAGGCCCCAGCTATTGCTGCCGCAGAGGCACAACAAGAAACGATACCTGACACTATAAACGAGCAACAAAATCACGTGCTTGACATAACAGAAAAAAAATTCAAAGTGAATTTCAGACAAGGATATACTGTAAATACAGACTGTAAATGTAGAGTATACGACACAATACAATAAAAAAGGTCAGAGAAATCTAAGCAAAGCCAGTAAAAACACAATGATCATCTACCACATGCCTGCATGCGTGGAGGAAATGGGGGCTCCCTCTGGCCCCACGGAGGCTGGTCTGGCTGGTTACCCCATGGTGGCTGCTGGTCATATGAGTTCCAGGATGGAGGGCCTTGGTCTGACCCACCTGGACCGCTCCAGGGGCCTCCTTCTCTGGGTGGACCTCCACTCCAGTTTCCTGGGTCCCGCTGGTCATTCCAAATCCCCTCATGGCTGTTCCACGGTGGGCACGGAGGGGGTGGCTGGTTTGGATCAAAAGGAGGCTGGGGAATAACAATAGTGACAAATGTTACAAAATCATCTAACTACAGAATTATGATGATGGAAACAGAGAGGGGTAATGGTAACATAGGGCAGGGCAGTGCCATACAAGGCAGCTCCACACCGTCTTTAGTGCTACACACAGGTCTTTACCGGCTGGTTGGGGTTCCAGGGGCCCATGTGCTGGGGGTCATACCACGCAGGCTTGTTAGAAGGGATATCTGAGGGTCCACTGGGGTTGCTGGGGTCCTGGGGCCTTGATGAAGCGCCATCAAACTCCCCTGGAGGAGGACCTGATATGGGAGGCTTCACATCCCCTGCGCACAATACACAACCACACTGACGAATTATCGCACAAACACACAGACATGTACTTACTCATTGTGGAGCGAGTCCAAAACATATTTTCATTAAGTGTGTGTCTACTCACCAGCTTTTGTGGTCATAGGTGGGGCCTTTTCAGGTTCAGCAGGGGTTCCTAGCTGTGCTAGAGGGGTAGGTTGTGGCTGCTGCTTCAGGCTGGCAACAAACTCTTCGTGCTGTGTCTTCAAAGCCTGGATCTGCTGCTGAAAGGCCAGCTGAATGGGCTGCACCACCGCAGCATACTCAGTTATCAGAGACGCCTGTGAGAGGGCAAGGGGTTGAGATTATCTGAGATTGTTACAGGGTTATCAGGGAATGAAAAACAAGGATGGTTTTATTGTCCTGAAATGGGGCACAGACACCAGCAAAATCTCCAGGTGCACATATAAATGGGCGTAACCAGCACATTTGTCATTTAGTTGAACACAAGCACTGACGCTAACAAGGTGCAGTTTGCACAGAGTGGAAGAGAGGTAGAATACATTATCAGGAAAAATACAGAATCAGGAGAGCAATCACATGAGCTCCTGTCACCCCCTTCAAAAGCAGCAGTAGGTGAAACAGATGGAGAGAGGCTGAGGTCTCTGAAAAAGCAGTTCACCTCCATGAAGCACCAAAATATAAAATAAACTAGAATAATCACCTCACAGTTGTATTCCTCCGCAAACCACTCAAGTTTGTCTCACAGTTTAAGTCCATGTCTGTGAAAACACGTATGCTTCACACACATCTTCACCCCAACAGCACAGAAGATCTATACAATCAGCACAGTTTCAAGGTGGACACCCAAGATTAGTGTCACCATTTCAGTATCTGACCAAATGCCTATGCATCTGTTCCTGAGACACACTACATGGACAAAAGTATATGGCCATACCTGTTAATTATTGAATTTCGGTGTTTCAGTCAGACCCATTGCCACAGGTGTATAAAATCAAGCAACTAGCCATACAGTCTCCATTTGCAAATATTTGTGATACAAAATGGATCGTTCTGAAGAGCTCAGTGACTTCAAGTGTAGTACTGTGATAGGATGCCACCTTTGCAATAAGACGGTTTGTGAAATTTTATCCCGGTGGATATTCCACAGTCAGCTGTAAGTGATATTATTAGAAAGTGGAAGCATTTAGGAACAACAGCAACTCAACCATGAAGCGGAAGACGATGTAAAATCACAGAGCAATTTCAACGACTGCCAAGGCGCAACATGCGTAAAAGTTGATTTCATAGCTGAAGAGTTCCGAGCTTTCACTGGCATTAATGTAAGCACAAAACTGTGCAGCAGGAGCTTCATGGAATGGGTTTCCATGGCTGAGCAGCTGCATGCAAGCCTTACATCACCAAGTCCAATGCCAAGTGTCGGATGGAGTGGTGGGAAGCGCACCGACACTGGACTGTGGAGCAGTGGAAACGTGTTCTGTGGAGTGATGAATCACGCTTCTCTGTTTGGCAGTCAGATGGGCGAGTCTGGGTTTGGTGGATGCCGGGAGAACGTTACCTGCCTGACTGCATTGTGCCAACTGTGAAGTTTGGTGGAGGAGGGATAATGGTATGGGGCAGTTTTTCAGGGTCTGGGATAGGCCCCTTATTTCCAGTGAAGCACAGTCTTAATGCTTCAGCATACATTGGACAATGCTATGCTTCAAACTTTGTGGCAACAGTTTGGGGAAGGCCCTTTTCTATTCTAACATAACCATGCCAAAGCTTAAGGCTCAAAAAAAAGGACTACAAGGACATAGTTTGATGAGTTCGCTGAGGAAGAACTGGCCCGCACAGAGCCCTGACCTCAACCCCATCAAGCACCTTTGGGATGAACTGGAACAGAAATTGCGAGCCAGGCCTTCTCGTCCATATCAGTGCTCAACCTCATAAATGCTCAAGAGAATGAATGGGCACAAATTCCCACAGAAACACTCTTGTGGGAAGCCTTCCAAGAAGAGTGGAAGCTGTTACAGCTGCAAAAGGGGGAAAAACTCCATATTAAAGTATATGTAGTTGAATACAAAGTCATTTCAGTCCCTGTTGGTGTAATGGTCAGGCGTCCGAATACTTGTGTCCATATAGTGTATGACACTGAATAATGGCCAGAAAAGTGTTGATGTTGTTTTTTTAGAACACTGTGATGTCACAGTGAGGCTGACCTTTTCCATATAAAATGTTGTTACTTAATCATTTTACCCTATCAGACATTTGTGTGAAATTTTGCCATAATTAGTCTATAAATTCTTGAGTTATGGCCAAAAACATGTTTTGTGAGGTCACAGTGACCTTTGATTCCAAACAGTTCATCATTGAATCCAAGTGAAGATTTGTGCCAAATTTGAAGAAATTATATAAACCTATGCTTTCCCAACCGCTGGTTTTGCACTGGCAGGAAAGTCAAGCATTCAGTCTTGTTCTACTCACTTGGTACTGGCCGAGACCCAGTGCTGGATTCTGGAGCTGCTGAATGGTCTCCTCATCAAAGTACCCATTTTTCTCCCACAGCTGCAACAACTGGGAAGGAGGGGGAACAATCAGAGAAAAATAATAATAATAATAATAATAATAATAATAATAGTTCCCTAATTTAATTTTAACATTTTTTTCAATCTTTTCCTCTTTTCCAATTTCTCATTTTATTTTATGGAAGTGATCAATCTAAGTGCACTTGTCCTTTAAACTCAAACTCAATCAATGCCTGGTACATTCGTTACAGGCGTATCAGTTTATACAACAGTTTTGTAGAACAGTTTTGAACAGTTAGAACAAGATGCTGCACTGCAAAGTGCAAATATCTCCTCGTGGCTGCCTGCGCTTTCCCTGTCCTTGCGGCTGCAACTTGCACTCTCTTCATCTACTTCGCCACTGCTGTACACAATTTAAGAACTACAACACCCATAATTCTTGTAGGAACTGCTGCAGCCAATGTGCAGCCGGCGGGAGCTGCAGGACGACTCAACCACCATGATCAGTTTTTAATGTTTTATCGGGCAATAACTACTCCAGACTCTGCTCTAGTGTCATTTTCGGGACAATCAGGGCAGGATTCAGGACAACTGCATGGATTTTGGGACTGTCCCGAATTTTTCGGGACGTCTGGTCACCCTACCATTAACTGACAATAGGAACCCCTAAAACTGACCTAACTGAAATTAAGAACTGAACAGATTCCATTAAAGTTTTGTTAGTCTTCTAATCTTTTATTTTAAAATAGTGGGATTAAATAGGAGAGTAGTGTCCCCATGATGTTAATGTTACTACCAAGAAAAAAATACCCCTGCAATCTGTAAGGAGTTAAGGATGCTGAAAATGGACACAAAATGCTGCCTGGTGTTTACCCTGGTGATCTTCTGCTGCTTCTCTTCCTCTACAGCCAGAAAGCTGGTGCAGTAGATGGGAACTACAACTTTCTGCAGCGCTGCCAACAAATCCTTCTGCTGCTTCCGCTGGCTGAGAAGACACATTTAAACACACGTTACAAAAGGAACATACTGAAAGCAGCTCAACAATTTCTCCTCAATAAACCTTGATATTAAATCTGTATTCATGTTTGAATATGGGGTTGACTATCTTTTTTTTCTCCCGATACTGGTGCTAAAACAGCACTTTAAAGACAGTGCTGCTGCCTAAACAGTGCCTGAACTGATACTTAAAAAACAGTACAAAACAAAGTGCAACATCATTAATGAGCACCCTTTTTTATTATGAAGGCAAATATGAATTTGAAATTGAACTGGGAAATGCCTTAACTGCAAAAATGCATGTGAATGCTGAAATAAGTACAACAGCACAGGTGAAAATGCAGAAATCTAAAATGAACTGCGTAAAAAATCTGGCAGAAATGAAAGCTAATCTGCATTACCTAAAGAAGCTAAAAGCTGAAATACACTGCTAGAAAAGCTGGAAGCTTAACTGCAATAATGTAAAGGTGAAATTAATTATAAGTCTGGAGGTAGAAATGCTTTGAAATCTGAAAGGCACAAAATGTAGAAAAAGTTAAATACAAGCAGTAATGCTCTTAAGGATCATAAAGTTTTGACATCTAAATTGTTTCTAGCTGCAAGTATGCAGAATAAGTGTGTGATCAATAAATGTGGAGGAGTAGTATAATTACTTTGTGACCAGTTTATAGCTTAAATGAGGTCTGTTGATAAAATTATGCAAAGTAACATAATTTCAAAGTGAAGTAGATTCACGATTTGAATATTTTTCAATTTACTGAAACAATTTAAAATTTGACAAAACTTTAAATGTAATAATTTTACCAACTAGGGGCTGTTATTTTGAAAACCAGCCTTGTCCAGGGCCCCCAGTAAGTTCCTGTTACCATCAGGGGCCTTTTATTTTAAAATTCAGCCTTGTCCAGAACTCCCTGGTTAACTACTGCAACCCAACCCAGGATATGAGCATGGTGTCTTTGAATACTGGAAATCATTTATTAGGCCAAATGTGTCCGGGAAAATTAAAATTCTGTAACTCATCAACCTGATGCTCAGGAGTGATCAGCCTGTGTGTGACTGAATGGAAAAGGCGATCACTGATGTAAAAGTGTTTCTTGCTGACTCTCTGACCGACAGGCTCTCTGACTGTATCCATAATAAAAGCTGATGAGGGAAATAACAGATTGTGAAGAGAACAATCTTTCTAATAAATGAAGAAGGTTGTTTGGTTTCTTTTCTTGTTCAGATTTTTAACTCGATAGTGAATCAGAAAACAAATAAAATATAAAACATGGCAGTGATACACTTGAGTTTAATCTCTTATCTGTCTTCACTCTGTATGAAACTCCAGTGACATTGTGATGTATCAGATCAGTCCGATCAGCTGCAGCGCTGCGCTGACCAGTCAATAACTGATATCCAATCAGGGGGTGTGTCGGTTGGTAAAAGACTTGCGTGAAGGCTGCACTCGTGTATCCTTGCTTCCCTCTCCTCTGAAAGCCTCCTCTATCCTCGACTCCTCCGAGTGCATTTAACGTATTGACACGTCCTACAAGATGGTGAGTCTCAGTCGATTTCCAGGTCAAGTGATCGAGGATAGAGGACAGAGGAGTCGAGGAAGGATACTGGGATGAACCCTGTGTCTTCAAAGGGTCCCTGTGCCGTGGAAGACTTCCTACCTCATTCCTATGCGAAAGACGTTGCATCCCACTGGCTCCAAGGGAGTACAACCGGTGGCCACATCATGAAAACCTTGGTATAACATCAGTGGAAAGACTCCCATACTTGCCAATACCCAATTCAGCATGTTAGGCAGTATCTGAAACATTTCTGATACTGGTATGGGTATCATAACAACTCTAGTAATGGTTACCCAAAGCTTATGCTTGTTTAATATTTGACACCACTGTGCACACAGAAAGTGATTTCATTAGTTGTATTATCCTGAGAGATCATGTTAATGAAGGTCTTTATGTAACGCTTCCAGCGACAAAGTCTAGGAGTAGAGTGATCATTGTATTTAAATATGTATTTAAGTTTGTGTACCAGTGATGGAGGACGTCATTGGTTAAATAGATAAGATGTAGGCGGAGCTCAAAATGTGCCCCATCAAGAGTGATGCGGTTGCGAAGATGTGATGTCATCAGTTCACAATGCTGTGGAGTCTTGGCGTTGTTGAACATCCAGTTCTTACCAGCCTGACAAGAAGACAAACACACGAGTGAGATATTAATCTTTTTTTCTATCTTAGGAATCTATGAACATAAGTGTCCCTAGATGAAAAAATAATAAAATCTTCATTATGGAAGGCTTACAGAGATGGCGTCTTTGGTGCAGGTGTCTATTATGGGTTGCAGCAGGCTGTCAAACTCTGTGATGTCCAACTGAGTTTCAAGCAACAGTTTTTGGGTCTGCTGCTCCATAGCTAGAGCTATGGCTGCAGTCACTTGTTCCTATTGAGAATACAGAAAGAAAAGAAGGAGAAAATACTATCATCCATCCTTCTTCAGACATCCACTGTTAAAGTGAAAAAGGGGGACATTATCATGAGAACCCACTAGTTCTTCTTGTGAATCAAAACTTAACCAATTCATCTATAGACTGTTTCAAACTTGACAGCAGAACAAAGGGATCTTTAATGTTTTTTGGGCCGAGGACCCCGTAGCTGAAAAACAAAGCAGGGACGCCCTTCTACAAATATTGGGTAAAACTGAGTTGCATTTCAGATAATGCGTAAAGGCACAAATTCCCGTTGCTCTGTGGTAACACACTAATAACAGCTAATTTCCGTCCTTGTTATTATTAAGGATCATTAAGGATGTTAATGCTGCACAGACTTGTTTGAGCTTTCTTCCAGTTCAGACTGAAGTTGTGAGGGAAAGTCATATACATATACAGGACAGGCCAAAAGTTTGGACACACCTTCTCATTCAATGCGTTTTCTTTATTTTCATGACTATTTACATTGTAGATTCTCACTGAAGGCATCAAAACTATGAATGAACACATGTGGAGTTATGTACTTAACAAAAAAAGGTGAAATAACTGAAAACATGTTTTATATTCTAGTTTCTTCAAAATAGCCACCCTTTGCTCTGATTACTGCTTTGCACACTCTTGGCATTCTCTCCATGAGCTTCAAGAGGTAGTCACCTGAAATGGTTTCCACTTCACAGGTGTGCCTTATCAGGGTTAATTAGTGGAATTTCTTGCTTTATCAATGGGGTTGGGACCATCAGTTGTGTTGTGCAGAAGTCAGGTTAATACACAGCCGACAGCCCTATTGGACAACTGTTAAAATTCATATTATGGCAAGAACCAATCAGCTAACTAAAGAAAAACGAGTGGCCATCATTACTTTAAGAAATGAAGGTCAGTCAGTCCGGAAAATTGCAAAAACTTTAAATGTGTCCCCAAGTGGAGTCGCAAAAACCATCAAGCGCTACAACGAAACTGGCACACATGAGGACCGACCCAGGAAAGGAAGACCAAGAGTCACCTCTGCTTCTGAGGATAAGTTCATCCGAGTCACCAGCCTCAGAAATCGCAAGTTAACAGCAGCTCAGATCAGAGACCAGATGAATGCCACACAGAGTTCTAGCAGCAGACCCATCTCTAGAACAACTGTTAAGAGGAGACTGCGCCAATCAGGCCTTCATGGTCAAATAGCTGCTAGGAAACCACTGCTAAGGAGAGGCAACAAGCAGAAGAGATTTGTTTGGGCCAAGAAACACAAGGAATGGACATTAGACCAGTGGAAATCTGTGCTTTGGTCTGATGAGTCCAAATTTGAGATCTTTGGTTCCAACCGCCGTGTCTTTGTGAGACGCAGAAAAGGTGAACGGATGGATTCCACATGCCTGGTTCCCACTGTGAAGCATGGAGGAGGAGGTGTGATGGTGTGGGGGTGTTTTGCTGGTGACACTGTTGGGGATTTATTCAAAATTGAAGGCACACTGAACCAGCATGGCTACCACAGCATCCTGCAGCGACATGCCATCCCATCCGGTTTGCGTTTAGTTGGACGATCATTTATTTTTCAACAGGACAATGACCCCAAACACACCTCCAGGCTGTGTAAGGGCTATTTGACCAAGAAGGAGAGTGATGGAGTGCTGCGGCAGATGACCTGGCCTCCACAGTCACCGGACCTGAACCCAATCGAGATGGTTTGGGGTGAGCTGGACCGCAGAGTGAAGGCAAAGGGGCCAACAAGTGCTAAACACCTCTGGGAACTCCTTCAAGACTGTTGGAAAACCATTTCAGGTGACTACCTCTTGAAGCTCATGGAGAGAATGCCAAGAGTGTGCAAAGCAGTAATCAGAGCAAAGGGTGGCTATTTTGAAGAAACTAGAATATAAAACATGTTTTCAGTTATTTCACCTTTTTTTGTTAAGTACATAACTCCACATGTGTTCATTCATAGTTTTGATGCCTTCAGTGAGAATCTACAATGTAAATAGTCATGAAAATAAAGAAAATGCATTGAATGAGAAGGTGTGTCCAAACTTTTGGCCTGTACTGTATATACATACATACATACATACATACATACATACACACACACACACACACACACTGAACAAAAATATAAACACAACACTTTTGTTTTTGCTCCCATTTCTCTACCAGCCACCCGGACAGCTGCTGCAACAATCGGTTTGCATAACCAAAGAATTTCTGCACAAACTGTCAGAAACCGTCTCAGGGAAGCTCATCTGCATGCTCGTTGTCCTCATCGGGGTCTCCACCTGACTGCAGTTCGTCGTCGTAACCAACTTGAGTGGGCAAATGCTCACATTCGATGGCGTCTGGCATGTTGGAGAGGTGTTCTTTTCACGGATGAATCCCGGTGTTCATTGTTCAGGGCAGATGGCAGACAGCGTGTGTGGCGTCATGTGGGTGAGCGATTTGCTGATGTCAACGTTGTGGATCGAGTGGTCCATGGTAGCCGTGGGGTTATGGTATGGGCAGGCGTATGTTATGGACAACAAACACAGGTGCATTTTATTGATGGCATTTTGAATGCACAGAGATACCGTGACGAGATCCTGAGGCCCATTGTTGTGCCATTCATCCACGACCATCACCTCATGTTGCAGCATGATAATGCACGGCCCCCTGTTGCAAGGATCTGTACGCAATTCTGGGAAGCTGAAAACATCCCAGTTCTTGCATGGCCAGCATACTCGGACATGTCACCCATTGAGCATGTTTGGGATCTTCTGGATTGGCGTATACGACAGCGTGTTCCAGTTCCTGCCAATATCCAGCAACTTGGCACAGCCATTGAAGAGGAGTGGACAAACATTCCACAGGGCACAATTGTGAGGTGGGATGGATTATCTCGGCAAAGGAGAAGTGCTCACTAACACAGATTTAGACAGATTTGTGAACAATATTTGTGAGAAATGGTCTTTTTGTATATAGAAAATGTTTTAATTTTTGAGTTCAGCTCATGAAAAATGGGAGCAAAAACAAAAGTGTTGTGTTTATATTTTTGTTCAGTGTATACATATATATTACATACATACATATCCGTTTCACAGACGACCAGGTGTTGGGCCAAGCTGAAAACTGGACTCATCAGAAAAGATGACCTTATTCCAGTCCTCTATGTTTTTTTCTAGCTTAACACGACTTCAGCCCTGTCCCTAGGAGCCTGTTTCGAACCGCTCTCACCGTGCACTTCACCCCAGCTGCCATTTGCCATTCTTTTTGTAGGTTACTTGATGTCATCCTACGGTTGCTGAGTGACATTATGGATTGACATTGACACTGATGGTCATCCCGGTCAGTGGAGAGTCGTTTCTGCCCTCTGCCTGTCTGTAGCTCTGTTGTCTCCAATGTCTGCTGCTTGACCTTGTTCTTATGAACCACCGTCTTGGAAATTTTATGGATGGAAGCAACCTGATGCTCACTGTATCCCTCTGCCAGTAAAGCCAGAATTCGAGTCGTATTTTTCCTCACTCAATACATTTCTTTTCAACTTTGGCATGGTCAATAGCTATTTTTTGATTCCAATTACTTTTGAGGTACTACTAGCACTGTTTTTGCCATACAGCTGGCCCTATTGCAAGAGAATAGTGATGACCACAGCAGTGTTTTTTATACTATTCCTAGTTAAATAAGAGTTTCACCTAATCAGTACCACATTAAGTAGAATCAGGTGTGCTTGTGTTGGAATTCAACAGACACTGGAATGGGATGGCTGTCATAAGGCTGTGCAATTAATCGTCTGGTGATCGTGATTACAATTTTGAGGTCAAATGATTTCCAAATTAATGAAATTGAGGGTAGACAATTTTTGGTCACGGACACCTGGAGATGATATTTTGTTTTCTATGGAAGCCGCTCATGCGGAAGATTTCAAAAACAGCATGCGGAAAATGGCAGAGGGAGAGCGAGAGAGGTTGGTCTGTGTGTGTGTGTGTGTGTGTGTGTGTGCGCGCATACACGCATGCACACATCAGGGCCGAACTCCACCATGCATGACACAGACAGAAGTGACATGCCGTTGTGTAAACAATATTAGTCATCACGTGCGCAGCATAATCGTTTGCATAATCGTGATTTCAATTTTGACCAAAATGATTGTGATAACCTTTAAAAAAAAAAAAAAAAAAAAAGTGAGGGAAATTACTTGAATTTATCTTTAAATATCTAAAATTCTTGGGCTGCTGGAAAAAAAATCTGACAATGACTTAATTATGCATCTTGAAATAGCTACACTTCCAAGTACCTGAGGTGTTGTAAAACACAATATACTGTTTCACGCAATGTTTCTATAAGTTACAATAACTTAGAATGCTGCTTTGTGATATTTTCTAACGTGATCAATCACTAACTATTAGACTAAATGTTCCAATTAACATAACTGATTTAAATTGAAGTGTTAGTGTAGAGTTTATCATGCTTTATGCCATAATGCTTTTTTGTAAAATAACCTGAATTGCTGTTGTGCACAAACATGTCAGCAGAAAATGTGCATAACAGTGCTCATGAGTGTGTGCAGATTCTGTTCTTACCCAGGAATAAATCCTTAAGAAAACACTGGTGACTGTCACATTCAAAATTTTGTGAGTGGGTTTTAAGAAGAAATTTCCTCATAAGAACGGTTGGTGAATGAGGCCCACTGCTCTTTATTTGTCAAAAGTTCAAAAGTAGTAACAACCAAACAAAAAAAAAAGCAGATGAATGAATGAATGATCCCTGAGGTGAAAATGTCCTGTGTGCCAGGTGTATTTGTTTCTTTCTTGCTCTGTACCTGTCGGAGTGTGTGCAGATGCTGCTCCTGCTGCTGCAGATTCCACTGACTCTGTTGGATGAGCTCATCCGTTGAAGCTGAGGCAGGTGGAGGAATCTGAGGTGCAGCCATTATTGGCATCGGTGGAGGCGGGATGTCAACTACTTCTTTGGCCCCCGGGTTGTACATTTCTGCAGAAACAGCAGTGGGAGAATAGCAGGAAAGATGAAACTTTGAAATCTGGAGATTAGGTAGAGCTTTGATTTTGGTGCTAGGGCTGGCAGGGTTGATGCAAACAAGTGCAGAGAAAAATGCAGTCTATAAATCATGTACAAGGCAGATATTTACACAAAATATTTGAATCAAAGTCACCTCTAAAGCTCAAATTAAATGGAACAGCTTACATACAGCCAGCAGATTAAACGTTTCAGACACAAAGCTGAGTGAATAAAATGGAAAAGACCTGCAGCATTAACACAACCAGTCATCATTCCTACCGTCAACTACTGCAGACACAACAACTGCTGAAAGGAAATATTAGGTTATAAGATATACAAAAAAATCCTCCGCACACTGACATAGACTTTACTATCGAAATTTAATGAAGGGAACAATGCGTTTCGCGTTTAGCGTCATCAGGTTCACCTCATCAGGTCTGACCTAAGCATTCTCAGGTGTGTTTAAATGCTTGCTGGTCACATGACCAATTTCGTTTTTTTCGTTTTTTCTCTGTTTGTCTAAGCAAGACTCAAAAAAATATACAAAAACAATACAATTACATACATCATGAAGTTGAAAAAGTATGCATCAACCATGGTATAAGTTAAAAACATAAGAATTTCAATGCATGAATAGCAAAGTCTACTTACATAATCAATATTACACAAAGCGAGGATAAGAGGTAGAATTACTACAAAGTACTCTATCCTAGCTTGAGACCACCAGTACCTATATACAAATACCTTTATGCAGAGGAACCATATAACAGGACATGAATAATATACATTAATAATATACATCCTGCAAGTCTATCCTTTACTCACTACTCCGCAGATAGTGCAGGCTCGACTTTCCCTACGTAGGACAGTACAGCTTTCCTGAGCTTTCCCTTTATGTATCCTACAGGGCAAAAAAGAAGAAAAAACAGGTTAAAGAAAACAACTCAAATCCTGTGAATCATTCATTCCAAAAGGTTCAACAGTAGACAGTTCATTAATCCAAAACGCTTCCCTTCTCAGGAGCTGCTTAATGATGTTCCCCCCTCTCGGATTAGGCAACACTCTTTCAATTCCAATGAATCTAAGGGAAGCTGTAGAACCATGATTTTTATCTTTATAATGTCTTGCGATGGCGTAATCAAAATTATTATTTCTGATAGCCGCTTTGTGCTCAGCAATCCTCAACTTCAGATTACGCTTTGTTTGGCCAACATACATCAAGCCACATGGGCAAATAAGCACATAAATTACATGAGTGGAAAGACAATTGATAAATTCTTTTACATTATATTTCTTTCCGGAATGGGGATGATAAAATGTTTTTGTATCAAATGTGTTGGCACAGTGTGCACATTTTCCACATCTATAATTCCCATAAACTTGCTGAGAAAGAAGGTTGGATTGTTTTGGTTCACTATACATCGAACTGACAACAGTGTCTCTCACATTTCTGCCTCTCTTGAAACAAAATAGAGGTCTGGAGGCAGATAGATGGTTTAGGCTCGGGTCACATTCTAGTACTTTCCAATGTCTATTAATAATTTGTTTGACTTGCCTCGAAACTGTAGAATATTCTGACACATAGGTGGTTCTGTTTACATTTTCATGCTGAGAAGGTGGAGGATATAATAATTTATCCCTCTCCCTCTTGTTAGCCTTCTCAATAGCCCTGTCAATAAGGGATTTGTCATATCCTCTTTCTTTGAATCGTTCAGCCATTTCTTTAGTCTTAATGATGTAATCCTCTTCATTACTGCATATTCTTCTCAACCTTATGAACTGCCCGTATGGGATATTTTTAATGAGGTGGTCGCATGTAGTAGCATGTAAAATAGTGTTTCTATCAGTGTTTTTACGATAGATAGATGTCTCCAATCTCCTGTTGTCATTCACAGAAATAAGTAGATCTAAAAAATTCAGTTCATAAGGTTGAGAAGAATATGCAGTAATGAAGAGGATTACATCATTAAGACTAAAGAAATGGCTGAACGGTTCAAAGAAAGAGGATATGACAAATCCCTTATTGACAGGGCTATTGAGAAGGCTAACAAGAGGGAGAGGGATAAATTATAATATCCTCCACCTTCTCAGCATGAAAATGTAAACAGAACCACCTATGTGTCAGAATATTCTACAGTTTCGAGGCAAGTCAAACAAATTATTAATAGACATTGGAAAGTACTAGAATGTGACCCGAGCCTAAACCATCTATCTGCCTCCAGACCTCTATTTTGTTTCAAGAGAGGCAGAAATGTGAGAGACACTGTTGTCAGTTCGATGTATAGTGAACCAAAACAAACCAACCAACTTTCTCAGCAAGTTTATGGGAATTATAGATGTGGAAAATGTGCACACTGTGCCAACACATTTGATACAAAAACATTTAATCATCCCCATTCCGGAAAGAAATATAATGTAAAAGAATTTATCAATTGTCTTTCCACTCATGTAATTTATGTGCTTATTTGCCCATGTGGCTTGAAGTATGTTGGCCAAACAAAGCGTAATCTGAAGTTGAGGATTGCTGAGCACAAAGCGGCTATCAGAAATAATAATTTTGATTACGCCATCGCAAGACATTATAAAGATAAAAATCATGGTTCTACAGCTTCCCTTAGATTCATTGGAATTGAAAGAGTGTTGTCTAATCCGAGAGGGGGGAACATCATTAAGCAGCTCCTGAGAAGGGAAGCGTTTTGGATTAATGAACTGTCTACTGTTGAACCTTTTGGAATGAATGATTCACAGGATTTGAGTTGTTTTCTTTAACCTGATTTTTCTTCTTTTTTGCCCAGTAGGATACATAAAGGGAAAGCTCAGGAAAGCTGTACTGTCCTACGTAGGGAAAGTCAAGCCTGCACTATCTGCGGAATAGTGAGTAAAGGATAGACTTGCAGGATATATATTATTAATGTATATTATTCATGTCCTGTTATATGGTTCCTCTGCATAAAGGTATTTGTATATAGGTACTGGTGGTCTCAAGCTAGGATAGAGTACTTTGTAGTAATTCTACCTCTTATCCTCGCTTTGTGTAATATTGATTATGTAAGTAGACTTTGCTATTCATGCATTGAAATTCTTATGTTTTTAACTTATACCATGGTTGATGAATACTTTTTCAACTTCATGATGTATGTAATTGTATTGTTTTTGTATATTTTTTTGAGTCTTGCTTAGAGAAACAGAGAAAAAAAGAAAAAACGAAAATGGTCATGTGACCAGCAAGCATTTAAACACACCTGAGAATGCTTAGGTCAGACCTGATGAGGTGAACCTGATGACGCTAAACGTGAAACGCACTGTTCCCTTCATTAAATTTCGATAGTAAAGTCTATGTCAGTGTGCGGAGGATTTTTTTGCATATCTTATGACTTACGTTCCTGCTGCCTGCCAGCACCTGACGATCTGTGGCTGTGCAAGGAGATTTCATTGATTCCAGGAAATATTAGGTTATTCAACTAAAGCTGATTGCACAATGACATGGTATCAAATTTCTATGACATGGAAATATTTTACAACCAATAAAACTATTTAATCTGAGACAGAATCTCTGGCCTACAAATCAAGCTGCAAGTTAAAGAGTGCTTTATTGTAATTAAATATATATGATTTAAACTAGGGATGTCCTGAGCTGATTGATATCAAAATAATCAAGGAGTTTTTGCTCATGTCAGCCATGTAAAAACTGTCTATTTTGAGTGCTTTTTTCAATGTAATAATTAAACTCAGGATATGCAAGCTGGCCTCAGTCAGCAATGTGGCAAAAATGTCATGTAGTCTGAACTCTGCATTATTCAGGCATTGTTCAGGCTATCAGCAAAAAGACAGAAATATATTGTAATTCATCTAATCAGCCTTCAAACTGTTTAGAATGACGATCGATGGCAGATTAATCGTAGCGCCCTTATCTGGTGGTGTTTGATTTGTAATCTTTGCTTGACCCTGACTCTTGCTGCTTAAAGTAGAATGGCACCAATCATTTTAGCAGCGCCACTGCTAAAAGCATAGGGGAAACACTGCATTTCTGCTAGCTAACTAACTCACCACACGGCACTGTTTCATTGTGTATGAAAAAATTAAAGGCTTTGTTGGAAAAAAATAATGGATTCTGTCTGCATAAGATATAGTAAACAGTTTGTTTCGATCTGCACCTGACATGGCAAATACAGCCAGAGCCAGTAACCTCGATATTTCCATTTTAATCCAACTAAGCTATTAACCATAAATTCTAATAATAATTCTTGTGGGAAGTTTCCACCTTGAATATTCACTGTATTTGAAACCCTTCACCTTACTCAATATTGAAAATCTTTCCTAGCATGTTTCACTGTGATCAATAATTTATTTATACCTTGTTATTTGGTCCATATTTATTGTAGTCTCATGGAGAAACGTTACTCTAGTGTTCACTCAGTTTATGAGTTTATGATATTTTCTCAAATGTTATAGTATAATATTAAAGGAACTGTGAATTTGTGCATCCTATCCAGGAGCTCTCCAGATAACAAAAAGGGTGGACAGAATATTCATAACACATCCAAATCAAGAAGGACACACTGGCCCAGCAGTGTGTGCCAGTACAAACAGGAAGACACTCTCCACAAAGTGTCATCAACCATTGCTGCCAATTTATCCCTCTGAAACTAAAGCCCCTTTTATACTGCTTCCTCAAGGTGGGATTTCACGCTGTTATGCTGCCTTGCTGTTCCGTTTAAAAAAATACAATCGCGGAATGGGGGGCAGAGTTGTCTCGCCTTTAAGGGGGCATTGGAGGTAGTGAAATAATTTCTGTATAAACGGGTCAGCTGGCAGGATGGGATCATGGGCAAGACAGGTGTGACATTTTAAGGGCATGTTATGTGTTCAACAGACCGCAGGAGATTTAAAAAAAAAACAAAAAAAAAACAAATAACCCAAACAAGAACGGCAGTCAAAATTGTCAACAAATTGAGAAAACAATTACATCCAGGAGCACTTTACCCTGAGAGCAGAGGACAAAATCAGCCACTATATATGTAAAACTTCAATCAATAGTCAGCGCTATTATTTGCTTAAATCACAAAAATCAACAGACCAATATCTAGCCAATAACCAGCAATCCAAATCCAAAGAACTTCTAGTAAAAAGCACTGCTTGGCAACCAGACCAGGGGCCGTATTCACAAACATTCTAAGAACACTCTCAGAGAGCTTAGCTTAGTCTTAAAACTTTTAGTAAGGAGTCCTAGCTTAGGAGTGATTTAGGAAAGTTCTAAGAGCAACTCTGAGCATGGAAGGGACAGAAGGAGTGATTTAGGAAAGTGATTTAGGAAAGTTCTAAGAGCAACTCTGAGCACGGAAGGGACAGAAACTTTTATCTTAGTGAGGGGGTGTGGTTGACCCTGTTACTAGATGTGGTGCTTTCTTTTGACAGGTGTGACTGGTTGTCACAGATACGCCCTTCTGTGAGCCTGCAAGGTGTGGACACCCAGTGGATGTGAACTGCATCACAATATGAGATAATCAATTGGCTGATCTTAGGTTCATGACTGCTGCAATGTTTCATTTTTCCAGTTTTTCAAATATCTTAGTATTGTGATTATTTTATTTCTAGTGTCATAGCGTTATTTTGTTAGGTGGGAAATGTGTGCATATCCCTAATGAGATCATTAGGGATATGGGCATTTGATTGGGACTAGGCTTTTATAGACCAATTTTTAGTGGACATCATAGTTACGTCACTGCAGTTGCGCGCACATACTGGTGGCAGAAAAACAGCGGACACCGATGACAAATGGTTGAGATACCTGGAATAAAATGTCTTCTTGTGCTGTCATAACACACATAATATTCACATACGCAATTCATAGAGGCCTACAGTTACAGCATGAAAAAATATTTAGGCGTATATTTACACACACCTAGTAGCAGCAGTATTTACATTGTTCTTAAATGCATTAAACAATGAAAAAAAGTTAATACTAACCAAGCCACGAAGTGCAGTTTGCCATTAGTATATAGTTGTTTGACTTGTTTATGTTTTACATAGCTTTGTTTTATGTCCTTATCACTGGCTCAGCAGCACGTCTGTCCATAATTAATAAAAATCATTTGACAAATCTCACTATTAAACATTCTGGACATGGACGCAAAATACAAAAGTGTATGCACCGAAAGGTTTATATGTCTTGATTTATTCTTTCGTATGGACGCTGGGTACATGAAGATGTCTGGCAACTGTAACGTTGGCATTGTATGTTAGTGCAAGACCATAGATATAAACACATACAGTACAGGCCAAAAGTTTGGACACACCTTCTCATTCAATGCGTTTTCTTTATTTTCATGACTATTTACATTGTAAATTCTCACTGAAGGCATCAAAACTATGAATGAACACATGTGGAGTTATGTACTTAACAAAAAAAGGTGAAATAACTGAAAACATGTTTTATATTCTACTTTCTTCAAAATAGCCACCCTTTGCTCTGATTACTGCTTTGCACACTCTTGGCATTCTCTCCATGAGCTTCAAGAGGTAGTCACCTGAAATGGTTTTCCAACAGTCTTGAAGGAGTTCCCAGAGGTGTTTAGCACTTGTTGGCTCCTTTGCCTTCACTCTGCGGTCCAGCTCACCCCAAACCATCTCGATTGGGTTCAGGTCCGGTGACTGTGGAGGCCAGGTCATCTGCCGCAGCACTCCATCACTCTCCTTCTTGGTCAAATAGCCCTTACACAGCCTGGAGGTGTGTTTGGGGTCATTGTCCTGTTGAAAAATAAATGATCGTCCAACTAAATGCAAACCGGATGGGATGGCATGTCGCTGCAGGATGCTGTGGTAGCCATGCTGGTTCAGTGTGCCTTCAATTTTGAATAAATCCCCAACAGTGTCACCAGCAAAACACCCCCACACCATCACACCTCCTCCTCCATGCTTCACAGTGGGAACCAGGCATGTGGAATCCATCCGTTCACCTTTTCTGCGTCTCACAAAGACACGGCGGTTGGAACCAAAGATCTCAAATTTGGACTCATCAGACCAAAGCACAGATTTCCACTGGTCTAATGTCCATTCCTTGTGTTTCTTGGCCCAAACAAATCTCTTCTGCTTGTTGCCTCTCCTTAGCAGTGGTTTCCTAGCAGCTATTTGACCATGAAGGCCTGATTCGTGCAGTCTCCTCTTAACAGTTGTTCTAGAGATGGGTCTGCTGCTAGAACTCTGTGTGGCATTCATCTGGTCTCTGATCTGAGCTGCTGTTAACTTGCCATTTCTGAGGCTGGTGACTCGGATGAACTTATCCTCAGAAGCAGAGGTGACTCTTGGTCTTCCTTTCCTGGGTCGGTCCTCATGTGTGCCAGTTTCGTTGTAGCGCTTGATGGTTTTTGCGACTCCACTTGGGGACACATTTAAAGTTTTTGCAATTTTCCGGACTGACTGACCTTCATTTCTTAAAGTAATGATGGCCACTCGTTTTTCTTTAGTTAGCTGATTGGTTCTTGCCATAATATGAATTTTAACAGTTGTCCAATAGGGCTGTCGGCTGTGTATTAACCTGACTTCTGCACAACACAACTGATGGTCCCAACCCCATTGATAAAGCAAGAAATTCCACTAATTAACCCTGATAAGGCACACCTGTGAAGTGGAAACCATTTCAGGTGACTACCTCTTGAAGCTCATGGAGAGAATGCCAAGAGTGTGCAAAGCAGTAATCAGAGCAAAGGGTGGCTATTTTGAAGAAAGTAGAATATAAAACATGTTTTCAGTTATTTCACCTTTTTTTGTTAAGTACATAACTCCACATGTGTTCATTCATAGTTTTGATGCCTTCAGTGAGAATCTACAATGTAAATAGTCATGAAAATAAAGAAAACGCATTGAATGAGAAGGTGTGTCCAAACTTTTGGCCTGTACTGTACATACAAACATTATGATCTAGTAGAAAAAGTTTTGTCTCCAGTTAATTAGAGTCTCAATATTTAGGCTATAATCACTGCTGGACGCTCAGTAGAGGAGTGTATGTTTGGCTTACATGAACTGAATTACTGATGGGGTTTTAGATAATTCAACATCATAAGGAACTGTGAAAACTCACAAACTCAAAGTTGGTCAAGCATGGATTTGTCATATTGTCCTTGTTAATACTTAGAGACATCCCCATATAATATAATTTAATGTAGAAGTAACATCAGACAACTTTTCAACTAGCTAAATAATGCTATCTGCTAATTAACTCAATGATCATGACAGAATACAGTAACTTTCACCACTGCTCATTTTAGAAATGACACCACAAGAAAACGTGTTCTATGTTAAGATTAATAAACGGATGATGGATTATAGATGATTTTTTTCTGTCTGCCAGTGATATGGCAGATCGCTGGAAGGCTGAAAAAAATTAGCTATATCACTAACATTAGCAAGCCTTTCATTTCCCCTGCCTGGATGCAGATGGGAACTGATTAAACACACATTATAGTCTCTACGTTAACATAAACAAAGAACACATTTTCTTGTGGAGGCCTTTCTAAAGTGAAGAGTACTTCGTTATGATCAAGGTGTTACTAAGCAAACAGTGTTAGCTAGCTAGTGCGCTAGCAAGTTGATAAATTGCACTTCCACATTAAATCATATCATATGGGGACATCTCCACAACTATTAACTAAGGAATAAGCCAAATCCATGCTTGACAAACGTGAGTTTTAACAATTACTCATGATGATATATCTCTCATCATGTAAATATTTCAGTTCACATAAGCCTAACACACTCCTTTACTGAGCATTGAGCAGCAGGGATTAGCCTACATATCCAGATTCCCTTAACTGGAGACAAAAGTTTTTTTTCCTACTACACCTAGATCAAAAGTCATTGATATAAAAATTACTCATTTCAATCGGTTGAGAAATATCAACATTATTGTGATTTCTACGTTTTATTTGGCGCTGAAACTGACATTACAATTGTACCTTTCTGCCACCAGTTCAGCTCCGCCCACAAAATACATCATCTGTTTGCAAACACAAAAAGGGTCTACCTGAAGTTTAAACAGGGAGAGTAAATGACTGTAATTGACATATTATGCCATTGTTATTGTTAGGAAGCCTTTGCTGCTGCATGTTATATGTCACACAAAAGGCAAATGCTGTTGTGTTACATGTTGCGCCCAACACACCTCTTTTGCTTCCACGATGCTGGCATGCTGTCTAAAATCACACACTGGAGCGGCATGATGTATGATGCGTGGCAATGACTGTGGTAGGGAAAATCATTACAGGGATACAACTTAAACAAGAACTGGGATAATTCCCAAGATACTAGTGTTGTGAATCTAACACTTGCTAATGAAATCATGCAGCCCTCGCACTTTATTTGCCCTTAACCGCAAGACGAAGCATTAAATTTTACAAGTTACCAGTATCCTTCTCCTGTTTATCTAATCAAACTTGGCAGCCTTTTGATTTAGCACATTTTCATCAGCTTCATCAGACAGATATACCCGAGACATCTTCAGCTTCAAAACAACAATACAGCACAAACTCAAAAAGAAAAACATACTAACAAGAAAAATGCAACTGAACACAATCCAAAAAGCTTTCAAGCACAGATGTCATAATGTCCAGCAAAAATATGCAAAATCAAAATTGGATTTCCAACTAGACATTTGAATTGGTCACACAAATCTAGTTCCAAATAAATACCTTCAGATTTATATTCCTCCCCATCGTTGGTAGAGGGATCTAAGTGGGGAAAAGCAAACTTTAATGCATTTCATTGGTATTTCACGACTGACAGAAGAACTCCATGCAACCCTGCACAACACTGTGCTATTATTACACAGCTGTTGATCATCTGATCATCATACAGTCACCATAATACTGGAAAATGCTCAGACTTCCTCTACATTAGCAACAAGTGCAATAATAGTCTGATGAGTCAAAACTATGAGTAAATACATAAAATTAGTTACTGATTTGTTAAAGAAAAAGCTTTACATCTGTTCCTTTTCTCAAATGATTGGCTTCAGTGAATTACAACTGCATCAAAAGTTATTTACTGTCCATTTTTAGTGTCTAGAGCTCACTTATCTTCAACTTTCTCACCCTTTTAATATACTTATAATACACTGTGTGTCATCACTCATTTGTAGAGCTGAATCAGTCATGTTTTTTTTATTTATTTTTGGCCACCAGTACAGATTGCTGATTGATGAGCCATATTGGCCAATTAACAGCCAATTGCTAGCTTTTTTATTGTTATTTTGTGATGTTTTGTCATAGCAGCTGGTACATTTGTATTACAACATAGGTCACTTTGACTGCTTTATAATGTATTGGGATTAGTGTTGTCAAAAATATTGATGTATCGATCCATTCTGAATATTTTAAAGTGTTTCATTAATCATTTTCCGCAGTACTGATGCAACAGTACCAGCTGTGCTTTCTCGCTCCCTCTTATTGTTAATGTTTACTACAGTCATTCTACTGTTTTCTGCTAATAACCAAGAAAAGTCCTCAATGTCATGTTACAGTTTTGTTATATTTATCTTTTAAGAAAAAAGTAATTGTATGCCCCGTGTTACTAACAGAAGTGTAAAATATCACAAGCAGCAACCTCCAGAGGCTGAAATGAATGAAGCCAATGCACAAGTGCCAAAAACTGTAGTTCCTCTCATGGCCACTTGAAGCTGGCTCTAAAACAGAGTCAGTCCCCGTAGACCCTAATGTTAAAATGCCTTTTCAGCAGTAACAAACATGTTTACAGCCTGGTACAAAAAAACAGTTTTGGTCTCTATAGATAATTTAATTTCATGACAATGGTGAATTTATATAGAACTCACCGATTTGCAGTTTTATTAAGGCTTAAAGTTATGCATAATTAAGGGCAGGGCCGCATGAGTGACAGGCGGTCTGTGTGCCCTCACCACAGTCTGTGAGTCAGATCTACCCCTGTCCTCTATAGTTCCAACCTCTTGTCAAATGTGGTCAAATCTGGCTCCAAATATCCAAGATGGCGACTGATGAAATGCCAAAATTGAGGCTTCAAAACGACAGTCCACATGGGTGACGTAACGGTAGCTGCATCCATTATTTATACAGTCTGTGGAAAATGGATATTTTTCAGGATATTCACTAATTGTGATCTACTCCAGGGGGCAGTATAACCTAGACTTCATATGCAATGTAACTGCAACGTATGAATAATGAATCACAAAAAGTCAATCTTGTTTGTTTATTATTGTGTCAACAATGCATTTTTACCTAGTCTGTTCAATCAACAGAGCAGTAAAAAAGCAACAAGTAGCCTACAGTAATGGTGTGTTCAAACCAGTCATGACGCAAATTTTTGCATTGTACAGCCACTGGAGTGGGGTTTTTTTGGAGTGTTTTGCAAATGGTGAATATTCTCCAGCCTTGCTGATGGCTCTGATAACTAACTGGGCTAACTTGGTTTGCGGTAAAGTACAACGGATAGCTGGGATCAAGTGATGTGAAAAAAGTAAACACAGAACTTCAGAACTTACCACGTAGTCCTATGGCAGTACTCACTAATCTTCAAGCCCTCTCCTTTATTGTTTTGTCTCTGTATATTACTGACTTTAGCCCTATTCGGACGGGATTAGTTTTACATAGGTACGTGGGGTAAAGTAATAATTACCAGAGATTTTAGTCCCGTCCGAATGTCCGAATGGTCCTGGACAATTACCTCAGGTAATACTAATCCCGTGCGAATAGACCAGCAGTAAATATGTGTGTTAGGGCTGTCAAAAAAAAAATTCAAAGTTAGAAATATATTCGAATATATATATTTTTTTATAAGTTCAAACCTAAATTTGATAATTCGAATATCATTAATAATTAATTAATACTATCAATAATGTTGTATATCACGACGAATCCCGTTCGGGCGGAGATGGCTCGTGTACAAGCCGGGCCAGAGAGGGATGCAGCGACAGAGGAAGAGGTGCCGACAGAGGAGCCCGCTGCACCAACACCACCCACTGCACTGTCCGCAATGTGTGACCTGTTCGGGGAGACATACAGAGAGAGTGTTGCACCTGCTGCCTCCCTGCCTACCCTTTTTGAAGAAGAGATGAAACGTTACCAAAATGAGACACCACTACGAGCTGACCAGGATCCACTCTTGTGGTGGAAAACTACGCACTGAAGTATCCAAACATTGCTCAGATAGCGAGGCAGAAGTTGGTCATACGTGGCACTTCAGTGAGGTCAGAACAGGTGTTTTCATCCGAGTGTCACGTTCATATTGCGTCAGCAATAAGCATCTTATTTTTTGTGGGGTTTTTTTGTAAAAAAAAAAATAAAAAAAAATAAAAAATAATAATAATAATAATAAATTCTAATATTATTTGAACTCTACTAAATTAATTCGAAAATATTCGAACTCAATTTCATGGTGCTTATAACAGTCCTATCATACACACATGAAGGCAAGAGGGAACAGCGGTGCGTGAATGGATTTACCCCTCCCACTTGTGGTAGTTTTACTGATATTTCTTATCCCGTGCGAATCGGCCATTAATATTACTGACGTCCTGTGGTAAAGTGACATTACCCCACGTGCCCATGTAAAACTAATCTCGTCTGAATAGTGCTTTAGACTGGGAGAGCTCTAGGTGCCCACAGGTGGCAACAATATATTTGTCCTTCATTTCTAAATCTTTGTAACATCAGGACAATCTGAAGTGGTTCTCAAAGCTGATTGGCTTTCGCAATACAGTACTAATTTCTTGCAAAAAAATTCAACTCCGATGAATACGCAAAAAAACAATTTCGCAAATTTTGTGTTGTGATTTCGCACCTATTTGTGTCTTTGCATCGAGTTTGTCTGTAATCTTGCCATGTGAAATGCTTCACATTCGATGTGAACACACCCCACCAGTGTAAAGCCTGGGATACACTGTGCAACTTTCGGCTGTCCCAGACAAAAGATGACCAACGTGAAAGAAACATGGTGATATCTTTGGTTGTGGCTCTAAAACGTCATACAGTGAGTGAGGTTCAAGGATGGCCGTTGTCACAATCTTGTAATGAACGGCAGCCTGGGATTAAATTCTGACAGTGTCAGAAATCTGGGATGACCATCTCACTGTGTGACTGCTGTTATGAGATACATCTCCCAACCAACCACTAGAAATGCAGTGATAAAATGATAAATAATGAAATAATGAAATGATAAACTGGTGCTTGACCCAAACAAATAGAGTCAGGAGAATAGCAGGAGGAAAACCTTGTGGAGTTGTGGCAGCAGAAGCCTTGGCTGTATGATGTGTCCTCCAGCTCTTACCATTATCGCGAAAAAAAAGGACAAAGCATGGAAGGAAATAGCAGTGGAGTTACAGCTTCCAGGTCACCAGCCTAGCAGCTAGCAAACACACAAACACAGACACGCTGCAGGAAAAAGTGCCCACTAAGCTTCAGGTTATTTGATAATGTGACCCTCTATAATGTGCTTTACAGTTGGAGAAATAATAACCTGTGCAGCATCCATGCGTGCTCAGTATGGGAAGCTACTGCATCAAACTTCGTCGCCTGTGATTCAGTAGGCCCTGTCATTGTACAGTCTGCATACATCAATCTTGATGTCCTACCCAAGTTTATTAGACCCATGTCAAACAGTGTAGCTTGAACTAAATGTATAAGAATGCTAAAATCTCACAGTCTTTAGGAGGCTTAAGTCACAGGAAACTCTTGTTGGTTTTGAGTAGCTGTGGCATTTAATAACACTCAAACTACTCAACTGTACATTCACTTGATATCTACACCACTAAAATTAAACTCATCTATGCTCCACCTTGAAAAGGATTTGGAAACTACAGCTATGTGGCTCGTACTGTGCCAGTCTGGATTTGGAGCACAACACAGCTGGTGATCAGTGGTGAGGCAAAGAACAATCAAAAGAGGTGCATAAGAGGCTGACACACACAAGTTTTGTCCCTAACCAACAATTTGCTGTCTAAATTTAATGTCTAAATAATTACATTTGTGAGGTGAACGTGAAGTATATTGTAAACAATTTCTAAACCATCACCCAGAGATGTTAATGGAGATGAGACTGGCTGACCAACACACACACACTGGAGTATGAACAAAATTAAACCAACTCTGTGGTGAAGAAATTATTCCCTGCATCTGGCCGGCTCAGCATCTGGGCTTTCCCCACAGCTAACGTGTAGCAGAGAGGCTGCTTTCCAGAGCTGGAGACATTAAAACAACAGAGTGGAGCACTCCGCCTCTCCTCTCATTTTGCTATTCTCACACAGGCAGGAGATGGTGAGGTGCTTTCAAATTAATATATTCAATAATTAATGTAATTAACTTTTGAAAATAAAAAGGCTGGGGGCCATTATTAATCAACAGATCATAAAATGTATACTATTCCCAGTGAAATAGTATGCAAACACTGGACACTGTGCCAGTATAAATAGTGTGCATACAATCCCACTGGCACTCTCTGCTTCAAAAGCTCCAGTATGGAAGCATTTTGGCTTCTATAAAGTTGAATGGAAAATGCTTCAAAAAAAGCTTTGTAAATGTCAAAAATGCTAAATTAGCAGCAAAGAGTACTTTATGTTAGTAGCTAAATTAAAATAGTAGCCTATTGCTGCAGCAGCCATCCTTTCAAGCAGCTGGGCAGAGCAAGCAGTAGATAGGTGAAAAATTCCGCTGTTAAAATTTTGGGTGCTTACTGTGCATATGCTCATTGATGGACATATTTA